ATTGAAAAAGTAGTCATCACCGTATTACAATTTGATTGGAAGATAATGAAATGTTACATTTAAGATTCCCAATGAACTCTACAAGTTGTTGGTATGGACTTTCAAATGCCCTTAGTATCATGAGGTTAATGAGAACTGTATTAAAACCCTTCATAGGAATGTTTCTAGTTATTTATTTTGATGATATGTTAATTTTTAACTCAAATAAGATGGATCATTTATAGAATAAGACAAGTCTTTGAAAAAGAATTGTTATATATCAACAAGAAGAAGTGTTCTTTTATAAAATGAGGTGATTTTTCGAGGATTCATTGTTTCCGCCACTTGAATTAAACCTGACCCTTTTAAAGTTCAAGTGATCTTTTAGACTGGCTCTCACCCAAGAGTTTCATTGAAGTATAAAGTTTGCATGATCTAATTATTTTCTATAGGAGATTTATTATATAGTACGATCATTGATCTTATCATTGGATAAATTTTCTTGCATCCCTTTAGCACAAAAGGCTATAACAGGTTAGATTCTCATTATCTTTGCATTTGTTCTTATATTACTAGAATCTCCAAAAGCCTTTGATGTAACTTGTTATGCTTTTGGATTTGAATTTGGTGGATTATTAAGTTAGAAAAATTTTTTGATAGCTTTTTAAATGATAACTTAAATATGACAAAATAAAGATATTCAACATATAATAAAGAATTTTTTCCAGTCATTCAATCTTTAAGACATTTACATCACTACCTTTTATATAAGAAGTTTATTATTAGATTGGATCATCATGCCTTTAAATTCATCAACACTTGATGAAAGCTAAGTTGTAGAAATTTAAAGTGGATTGAGTTTCTCTAAAATTTTTCTTTTATCCTTAAACATAAATCAGGAAAAACAAAAACAAATGTGCTAATACATTATCTAGGATAGCTTTGACCATCTCTTCTTTGGAACTAAAAAATACCTAGATTTGAATATCTTTAAGATGATTACCCAATTTGGCCTTACTTCCATTTGATTTACCTCGAGCACTTAAATAAACCTTTGAATCTATAAGGAATATTCTTTGTAATTAATAGATATCTATATGGGAGAAAACAATTTTGTATTTTTAGAACTTAGGGAAATTATGATCTCCTAATTATATTATGGGGGAATAGCTAGACGCCTAGACATTTTGAGAAATATAAAACAAATTGCTTAATGGAAAGTTAATTTTTATTGCTTTCACTCAAGTGTGATATTAAAAAAATTGGTGCCTAAATATCTAACATGCAAACAAGCAAAAGCCCCCAAATAAATGTCTTATCAATTTGTTGCTTTGCTAGTTACCGATAGGCCTTAGGAAAACCTCTATACGGATTTCATCTTAGGACTGCTTCGTATAACTCTATGATATAATATCATTTTTGTGGTAGTTGTTAGGTTCTCCAAAATGACGTATTTCTATTCCGCTTTTAAAATCTTTAATGCTTCTTATATTATTACACTATTCCTTAAGAAAAGTATGCATTGCATGGCCTTCTTTCAATCACTATTTCTGATTGTAATGCTAGTTTGCTTACACTTTGTAGAAAATATTTGTGACCAAATTGAAATGCTAGTATATTTTTTTATCTCCAAACTCATGTACAAACTGAATTAGTAAACCTAATTAGATGTCTTCTTAGAAATCCTAGGTTTGCTTAAGAAAATTAAACATCTGCATAACCTTCTTTCAATCGCTATCTCTGATCGTAATGCTAGGTTTTCTTAGACTTTGTAGAAAATATTTGCGACCAAATTGAAATTCTAGTATATTTTTTTTTATTTCCAAACTCATTTACAAACTGAATTAGTAAACCTACTTGGATGTCTTCTTAGAAAAAGTTTAAGAAACTGAGATTTGCATTTGACTACATCTAAATTGCATACATTAGTATTATCTCAAAATAATAAAATTTACTTTTTTATAAAAGTGTATGGTAAAAACCCCAGAAGATCGATTGATGTAGTCAGCATTTCATTTCATGTATTCTCCGATTTTATATTTACATTTGCCAAGTAATTTCAAAGTCTACATGATACCATAAGACAAAAATTATTTTGAGTGATGACAAATTTGCTTCGAAGATTAATTATAATTATTCAACAAAAAAAATTAAAATGTGATTATTTTTTTATTCAAATCCATCTTGGGTCTTATCAGATCTCTAAAATTACATACAAGGGTTTATGACCTCTTCAAAATTCTTAGAAAATTAGATCTAATGCATATTATCTTGATTTAGTTGTTGGTATGCTAATTCAACCTATTATTAATATTGAAAATATTCTATCATATGAGGAAGTTAACAAACCTCAATTTGTTCAGTCTAATTTTTTAGCAAAAGATATAGTTCCCCACTTATAGGATATCTCATCTTTGGAGGTTAATTATGTCATCATTGAGAGAGTAACCACAAATCTAGTTGTTGTGCATAATTTTTTAGTTCATTGGAAGAATAAATTATTTACTAAAAATTTATGGCTAGGCTGTATCGATTTAGAGACTGGCCCCACAATTGATAGAAGGCTACTTGGATTTTAACTCTACGTAGCATTGTTCAATTAAGCTTGAGGGAGTTGGTATAACAAATCATTTGGATCAAAGATAATCAAGTTAGAAGCTTAATTATAAGAGTTAAGGCTAAAATATGAGGAAAATAAAGAAAAGGCCCAACTATAAGAGCAAATAAAGAGTCCATAATTAAGAGAATTTTGAATGTAATTTGTAGCTTATTATTTTTAAATTTTTATTTTTCACCTAAGAAATTTTATGCCTAGCTATGAAATGGTTTGGAATAGAGAAAACATAAAAAATAGACGGTTGGAATTTCTCCCCATTAATGGCCACCAATCCCCTTTTTTTCTCCCTTTTTTCCTTCCATTTTATCCTTTAAAAAGTGATTTCCTAATGGTATTATAACGCCTATAAATGGGCTGATGTACATTATAATTCTAGAGCTTGGAATGAAATGTTTTGGTGGAGAAGTATTTTTTATTTGTTTGATGTTTGATAGTTTCAAGTGTACGTCTTTTCTTTGGTGAGAATATGTAGTTAAATTTTTTTTTTTAAATTATTCATTACTTCTCTCTAACATCAGTTCTAAACTTTTCTCACATCTTCCTTTACTTTAAAAGCATCCTCCAAAACCAACAAACCTCACGCACTCAAAATTATCTCCATATTGCTATTAGCCTCACCAGAAAATAATAGGACTTAGTTTTATTTCTTATACTTAGTCAGCGTTTTAAACTTTACAAACTTTATCATCTAAAGTTTTCGTCTTAATTTAACCAACCACAATTATTTCCAGCATTTACCCTGCATAAAACATATTCCTTAAAGTAATATTCCAAATCAATCCAAACTGGCTTTGTCTTGACATTCCTTACACCGTATCCTTCTATTCCCCTCACATTTCCACTACAAACTCCGTATCACTTCTTTAAACATTAAATTAAAGATCTGTAGTCAATTTCTTCTATTAATCTCATAAAAAAGGTCACCCACCATCATCAATGGGGCAATATGACCGCATCTCTTCTCTTTGCACCTTGCCTAAGCACCTAGGTGAATGCTGGGCTCCCTTTTAACAACGTTGATGAATAAGTTCTAGTTCTGCCATGTATTGCTCCACTGGTTAATTCCAAGATACGTGCACATCACTCTTAAATTAGAGTGAAGGATTTGGAAGGGAGGGGGCTGAGAAAGGGCATGAATGGAGTTAGTAGCGTATAGATAACCACAGTTTCTTGTTATTTTGAAATAATTCGAACTTATATTTGGAAAGGTTGTGTTATAAACATGATTGTCGATCAATCTTGAGATTAAATTCCTTCCTTTTATATCTTAGACACTCATGGTCACCATTTGCAATAAAAGAAGTGGGAAATATTAGTATTGTTGGTAGAGGGTGAATCATGCTGTAAGCTAGATTCTTGTTCACACTTCCCAGTTGATCCTTTATTGCACGCAGTTAAGTATTGTATTTCTTTGTTTTGCATTAAAGGTTGATGAAATTAACAGTTTATATGGCACATAAGTGAACAATATCTGAGCCCTGTACTTTCCTACTAATCCCATCAACATTAGCTATTATGTAACCCAGCTGTCTAGCAAGGGTACGTATTTGTATAACAATCAAAATTTAAAATGTAATGTGAAAATTTTCTGGCACTAATAACATCACTTTGAATAGAGGTATTTATCTAAATATATCTTTACACCCCATTGTCAAGGCATGGAATTAGAGCGTCTAATCACACTGCAGATTATTATTATCTGCAAATCTTGATATTGGTAGATTGATTTCAATGTTGAAAATTTTGTTATATTCATATGGAATTTCAAAGATGTGATTATTCTAGCTCAGGGAGTACTGAGCTTCAAGCTAATTTGCTAGTTTTACTCCTATTGAAGGTTTCAGTTCATTTTCTTGGTTCTAGTCAAGCGACTGTTAATGAAGACCCAAAACTTAGGCCTATATTTTGAATCTCAACCGCTTAGACAGTAGCACCTTCTTTTTATAAAGCATGAGAAGCTGTCACATTTGATTGCTATGCCTATGAATGTAGTTATTGTTATCATAAAGTAAAGATCTTCATTTCAGTATGGTTCAATTTGTTGGCACAGCTGCAAATTAGTAGAGTTTCACTCCGATTGAATCAAACATTAAAGCAGGAAAAGCTTAGAGGGATACACTGATAGATAAATCAGAAATGCTATAGAATTTTTGATATTTTAAGAAGAAAACAATGGTTGGGATCTACTTGATCAACTATAAGTTCACACTATCTGTTATCACTTTATTTTGCTTGAAAATTTGATTCACATGCTACTTAATAATTAAAGGCACTTCATTCATCTCTTGGCCTTAAAGTAACCTATACCGACATTTTGTTCTCATGAACTGCATTAAATCTTTTACTTTTGTGCTTATTATTCACATGTGATAATTTCTTCCTGTATTTTGTCCATTTTCAATAGGTGCGAACTTTTCAATGTGAATCTTGACCAGTACGTAAAAACACTGATTTAACACACGGAGGTATGTTGAACTAAAACTTTTTCTTTTCTTTTCCACAGACATTTCTTTCACACAGGTCCATTAATTCATACAAAGTAGGCATTCAAGTTTCTCTAATTTATCAAGGTTCATTTCTGCTTCGTTTGGGTGGACTTTCTTCATGCTTCTTAAAACAGCTTTCTAGTACAAAAATTAAAATTTTTGTACTAAAAGCTGCTTTAAGAATCAATAAAAAAGCTGTCTTGAACGAAATCTTAATTTGATCAGGCCTTCCTCGATTTTATCTCAAGATTGACATATATTTATTCTATTAGGTGTCTTTTATTTAGATAAATTGTGTTTTTTTAATAACATGCTAATACAATGAAGTATATCATTATTGGATCTAGGTTCTCTGTATGAAGATCTGAGGAAGAATGAAGAGCAAACGTTAAACAAGTGGTTCCTCATTCTTAAAATGAAATATATCATTGATCTTTTGGAAGAAAATGAACTTTCAGGATGTAAATCTACTGGCACTCCCATTGTTGCTCAAACCACTACCAATGAAAAGAAATTTTGAAAATGTCAAGACTAGTTCAGAAACTGCTCTTTCTTACATTACTAAACTAAACATTTCCTTAATTGGAGTTTTGAATCAGTCTATTCAGGCTTCGTTTGAAACAACTTTCTTATTACTTTTTAAAACAATTTTTTAGTACAAAAAAGAAAATTTTGTACTAAAAAGTTGCTTTCAAAAGCAATAAAAAAACCGTTCCAAAGGAAGCCTCAATCTCCTCTACCTAAGCTTCATCCTTAATTACCTGCTCCTCCCTCCTCCCTTCGTAGATCCTTGGCCTCATGTTCTCTTCGAACTTCAGTGCATGGGATTATTTATTGATTTGGCGGTCATTTTCATTTCTGTTTTTCTATTATAGTGGTTGCAGTTTCAGTGTTGTGATATGCAAACTAACCTTATGGTTTTCATCCTTCCAAGCTCAGCACTCTACTAATTGCTTTTTGTATCTAATGAAGCCCCTCTTTATCACATGCCCTTTTATGAGTTCATTTAGGCTTCGTTTGAGACCGTTTTTATACAGTTTTCTACAGCAGTTTTTTTTACAAAAAATTCTTAAAAATAGTGAAAAAGCAATGACCTAAAGCTGTCCAAGGCTTCGTTTGGGACAGTTTTCTTACTGTTTTTTAGTATTAAAATCCCTTGAAAGCAGAGAAAAAACCATGGTCTAAAACTGTCTCAAGAAAACATTAAGACAATTTTCTTACTGTTTTATAAAGTAGTTTTTTAATATAAAAATTATAATTCAAAAATTTTTTGTACTAAAAAGTTGTTAAAGATAATATTAAGAAAAATATTTTAAACGAATCTTAAGACAGCTTTCTTAGTGGGCTTTCTAATACAAAAATTAAAATTTATGTACTATAAAGTTGTTTTAAGAAGCATGAAGAAAGCCATCCCAAACGAAGTCTAAGACTTCTTTTGAGATGTCTCTTTTAATGCTTCTTAAAGCAGTTTTTAAGTATTAAAATTTTCTGCTTCTTATAGTAACTTTTTGGTACAAATTTTTTTATTTTAAGTAGTAAGAAACCTGTTCCCAAGATTTGCTAGGTGTTTTATTTATATGACTATTAGCTGTATGTGTAAGCAAAATAATTAGAAATCTATTTTATGATGTATTAATATACAAATCTCATAAAGCTCTGAGATTGTTATTAGATTAATATCAAATTTAAATACTAAATTTTGTTATTAGTTCTCGCCGCGAATATTCCAGGGGGAAAAACCACGTAAAAACTCTGGTGTCTCTTATGAATGTTTCACCCCCTCACTTATCTGCTTGTGTGCTGGATCTTCGTACAATGCTAAGACGTTAAACCATATATTTCTCTACCGCCGCGAATATTCCAAGACGCAACAGTTCTATTCTTGAGATCACATGAAACCTAACATATTTGTTTGATACATTATTATAATTTATAAAATACATTAGATTATTGTTTTTATTTGTAAATTTTTAAAGTAAATTTTCTTTTCGCAAAATGACAAATTTTAGGAAGATTTCTTTTTATAAACTTTATTCATTTTTTTTTCAATCACATCTGAATTAAACTTTTCTTAAGTTCAAACGAAACGGACAATTGATTTGAAAATATCTGTTCAGAACATAAAAAATGGTAATTCCTAAAAACAAGGTTAAAACATGGCTCAACAGCTATTTTCAATCATGAGAAAAGATTTACATTTAATCTATTTCAATCATAGCTTTTAATCTAAAATAATTAAAAATATATTTTAATAAGATATTGAACAAAATATTCTATGAATTTCTTGATGGATAAAATTGTATAATCTATTAGGCTTCGTATAAGAAGTTTTTTTTTTTTTTTTAAATTTCGTTAAGAAATAGTGAGAAAGCGTCCCAAACGAAGCCTTAGGTTTCGTTTGGGACAGTTTTTTTTTCTGCTTACTAAAACAACTTTCTAGTGCAAAAATTTCTTAAATTAGAAGTCTTTGTACTAAAAAGCTGTTTTAGAAAGTAATAAGAAAGCTGTCCCAAACGAGAGATGTACGGATGCCAGACAGTCTGAAGACTAACCATAATACGCCACATCATCCGGTACACAATGGTACTGAGCACCGGTGCTAAGCAAAAAAGTGATGTTGCATGTTCTCATTAGTCTCCGGACACCGTCTAGCATCCGCATAGAATAATTTTTCCCCAAAAGAAGCCTTAGTTTAAAGATCAGGCTATTAATGAAATAATCTTGAGTTCGAAGTTTATATATATGATGTATGTGAGCTTGTATTTAATTTGCTGAAAAGTAAAAAAAAAAAAATACTATATTACCTTACTATAAACTAAAAAAATAAACATTAACAGAGAAAAACAAATTAAAAAAAAAAAAGCTTATATAACTACATCAAATCAAATTATTATATATTAAATTACAATGTCAACCCTTCAAAAATATTTTTCTTTCATAAATTGCTATATTCGCTTGCATTTGTTTCTGGAGATCGGAGACCAAAAGAGAGGTCCACTGACAGCTTCTTGACGCCTAGCAGAACAAACAGACTAAAGCCTCAACTAGGGGCTCTTCACGTGTCTGCTCGAAGAGCTCGTGATATCCACTCCTTGCAATCATAAAGATTGCGCTAATCTTGATGTAGATCTAATGGACATCGAGTTCATTCCAGCGTAAGCATTTCATCTCTTACACAGGACTCAGCATCCCTTACAGCAGCGATCTTGTTAAATTATTTAGGGTTTCTGTTTTTTATTGCAGAAGAGAGAGTGTCACGGGCGTGAAGAAGAGCAGCCCGTGACTGCCAAGTGCCAATGCTGAACGTTCGTATTTTTCCCATCGCAGCTTTTGGACAACGCGCGTCGACGAGCACTTCAAGATCGAGTTGTAGCTAAAGGGTGCTTGTTTTATGCTAGCAGAGGGTATTGAATAATATAAAGTTTCGTTTGGAAAAGCTGTTTTAGAAAGCTGTCCGAAACGTGATCGAACTGCACAAATTAAGTTGTTTTCGTTTTCCTAAGAAAACTAATATTGATTATTTATGTAAAAATTAATATGATTTGTTTTCTTTTTTTTTTTGGGGGAGAGGAGAGAGAGAAAGCGAGAGAGAGAGAGAGAGAGAGAGAGTCACGGGTGTGAAGAAAAGCAGCCCGTGACTGTCAATGCTGAACGCTAGTATTTTTCCCATCGCAGCTTTTCGACAACGTCGAGCACTTTGAGATCGAGTTGTAACTAATGGAGACAAGAAGGTGCTTGTTTTATGCTAGTAGAGGCCTAGAGGGTATTGAATAGTATAAAGTTTCGTTTGGGAAAGCTGTTTTAGAAAGCTGTCCCAAACGAAGCAAATGCGATCAAACTGCACAAATTAAGTTGTTTTTAAGTAGAATAATATTGATTATTTATATAAAAATTAATATGATTTGTTTTCTTTTTTAATTAGTGGAATGATATTAGAAATAATGGTGTTATATGGTGTTTGACGTCTTGGATGAGAAAAATAAAAGATTATGTTAGGCTTTCTTTGGGTTTGGGACGACTCTTACTATTTCTTAAATCAGCTCTTTAGTAGAAAAATAATAATTTTTGTACTAAAAAGTTGTTTTAAGGAGTAAGAAAGCTGTTCCAAATGAAGTCTTAGATGGCTGACAATCAGCATAAAATTTATCAAAAAATTATTACACCGGTCTTTTAGTAAATTAACTAAATATTAGACTTTTTATATTATGGGTATGATTTTTTTTTTAATTAATATGTAGTATATGTCAGTAGGTCTTTTAGTTGTTGTGTGGGATATCTCATGAAAGAGAGAATTGTTTTTTTTTTTAGGTGTTTATGGGGGTTGTGAAGCTTGTTATAACGACAAGTTTAATTAGGCATCACAGACATTTGATAACAGCTAATTCATGACATAATTGTTTTTGGCTCATCATTTAGTAGTTTTAGAATGGCATTGAATTTTTTAGGCCTAGAATGATAGATGTTAAAAAATAAAGATGTTTTCATGCACAACTATGGATCTCGGATTATAAGAGTATGAGTTGCTAACTTGACCTTCTATTAAAGTGATGTAGAATGTTGAAGAGGCGGTAATGGATGGGAGGTGTTTAGATGGTTATGTTGTGGCTGAATGATGCTAATTAGGCATTATCCCAATGGCTTTAGTTGGATGGTGATGGTGGTTAGGCAATGACAATCTGATGGTAATAATTAGTGGCGGCGATCTATCGAGAATGATTACATGATGGTGTTTGATGGATGTGCTCTAATGGTGGTGGTAAGACAATAGAGGCCGAGTAGTGGTGGTCAATTGGTGGTTGAGCGGTGGTGGTTTGAAGGAAATAGAGATGAAATTTTGATGGTCGTTGAGGGCTAGTGATTCAATAACAGAGGTTGGTTTGTGGTAGTGTAAGGGAAATAATTTGACAAAGGTGGTTCGATAATGAACGATAGGCGATGGTGGTAGTTGGGTAGTGGCCTTCTTATGGTGGGCGTTCAATAGTGGTGCTATAACAGAGGTGGTTATGCGTTGATTGTCTAACAATAATGATCTGATGTAGTGGTCCAAAGTTGGAGGTCAGGCAAGTCGGTCTAACAATGAGGGTTAGGTGACAGTGGCCTAATTGTGGTGTTTTGCTGTCTTCCAACGATGAAGGACAAGTGTCATCAGTCCAACAGGACAAAGTTTGCTTGACAACATGGTTCAGTGGTGGTGGTTCAACAATAGAGGTCTGTTGGTGGTAGTTAGGTGAAGCAAGTTTAGCAATGTAGATAGAGCAATGGCAATCCAATGATGTTGATTGAGTGGCGGGGTCCGATGGCGGTGATTAGAGACATCAATTTGATGGAGATCTAATGATCGAGTTAAAGTGACGGTGGTAAGGCAGAGCTTTAGAATTCTTGAAGCCTTTGAGCTCTCTCCAATTCCAACAAAGAACCTATTGATATAAATCCTAAATAATACTCTCTCACTAAACAATAATCAGCCCACACACTTAAATACTTAATATAATGTTCTCTAGCAATAGTGTGACCCACCATATGAAAGCGGCGTACCATAAACTCAGCTAATAATCTCTCTTCGAATAAGGCTAGCTCACTGTCACGAGATACAGTGATGGAGGAATGGAATTTTCTTTTATTATTTTTAGTTGGATTTCATCATCATCATCATCCATTCGTTCGATTGTCCTTCATCGCCCCCACCAAAAGAAATCATGGAACCCCCTCCCTCCCCTCCCTTCTCCTCCTCCATTGTCATGGCCAACCAACGTCCCGAACAACTCTCTCAAACACCACCACCGACACATGAAACCTGCGAGCTCCAAGCTTGCTCCATTTACTACTCCAAGCCCCCCGCAGCCTTCCGCCGCCTACTCCATCCATTGCCTCCGCCGCCAACCCACATTCTCCGGGATATCTCCCTGACCGTCCGCTCTGGCGAACTCCTCGCCGTCGTGGGCCCAAGCGGCGCCGGAAAGTCAACTCTGCTGGACATCCTAGCGGCCCGCACTGCCCCCACCTCTGGCCACCTCCTCTTCAACTCCTCCCCTCTGCACCCTACCTCTTTCCGCCGTCTCTCCGCCCACCTCCCCCAACACGACCACCCTCTCCCGTTCCTCACCGTCTCCGAAACCTTCCACCTCTCCGCCCGTCTCCTACTTCCTCCTCCCACCGCCGCGGAAGCAGCCTCGTCCCTCCTGAACAACCTCCGGCTTTCCCACGTCTCCCATTCCCTCCTCCCCGGCTCCCTCTCCGGCGGCGAACTCCGCCGCGTATCGCTAGGCCTCAACCTCCTCCGCAACCCCTCCGTCCTCATCCTCGACGAACCCACCTCCGGCCTCGATAGCGCCTCAGCCCTCCTCGTTATCAGCTCCCTCCGCCGTGCCGCCGCCACCAACCGCCGCCCCGCCATCGTTCTCTCCATCCACCAACCCTCATCACAACTCCTCTCCTCGTTCGATTCCTTCCTCCTCCTCTCGTGCGGCACCGTCCTCCACCACGGCAACCTCTCCTCTCTCTCCTCCTTCCTCTCCTCCTTCGGCTTTCCTCTTCCCGAACACCTCAATCCCCTCGAACTCGCTCTCGAAGTCCTCCCTTCTCTTCCCACCCCCTCCCCGCCTCCGCCACCTCCCCGCCGTGTCCCCAACGCCGGAAAACTCATCCCCATCCCTTACCCAAGCCCTCAATCCCGCGAAATCGACGTCCTGCACCTCCGCTTCTGGAAAGTAATCTACCGCTCAAAACAGCTTCTTTTAACCAACACCCTCGAAGCTCTCCTCGTCGGCTTCCTCCTCGGCACTATCTACATCGGCGTTAACTACGACGAACAAGGAATGAAGAAACGGCTCGGCTTCTTCGCCTTCACACTAACATTCCTCCTCTCCACAACCACTGAAACCCTCCCCATCTTCGTCTCAGAACGTTCCATTATCCTCCGCGAAGTTTCCGCCGGCGTTTACCGCCTCTCCTCCCACCTCATAGCTAACACTCTCGTCTTCCTCCCTTACCTCTTCGTCATCTCCGTTCTCTACGCCTGCAGCGTCTACTTCCTCGTCGGTCTCTGCTCCACCTGGACAGCCTTCGTTTTCTTCGTGCTGATAGTGTGGGCGGTCGTGTTAGCGGCAAACTCATTCGTCTTGTTTGTCAGCGCCGTGGCACCGGATTACATCGCCGGAACTTCGGTGGTGACGGTGGCGCTTGCCGGGTTTTTCCTGTTTTCCGGCTACTTTTTGAGGAAGGAGAGAATGCCGGAGTACTGGGTGTTCATGCATTACATGAGTCCCTACAGATACGCGCTTGACGCGATGCTGGAGAATGAATACGGGTGTGAAGCGGAGCGGTGCTTTGAGTGGGAAGGGGAGCCGAGCGGAAGCAAGGAGAGAGAGTGTAAGATGAGGGGAAGGGACGTGCTGAGAGAGAGGGGGTTGAGGGAGGAAGGGAAGTGGGTCGGGTTGCAGGTGCTTTTCGGGTTCTTCGTGTTTTATCGGGTGCTGTACTTGCTTGTGCTACTAAGACGGGCCGTCAGGTCTAAGAGATAGGTGCTTAACTGAATATGTGGAGTTTCTTTTTTTTTTTTTTTTTTGAAATTTTGAGAATGTTTATTTTTTTGACTTTAAATGTGTATTTTCTTTAATATTTTTTTTTTCAACCATTGAGATAATGAGATGATTATTCACTTCATTTAATTTTGTTTCTAATTATTGTTCATGAGGTTTAAATTTTTTTAAATGGAAGAAATAAATTATTATTTTTAAATATTTTGATATATTTTATATTAAAATAAGGCTAATTTTATTATATATATGTCATTAATTTTATGTTCTATATGGTATATATTAGTATAGCCAAATGATTAGACTATAGTTAAATTATTAGATAAATAATTTTCTGTGCATATCTTATGTGTAGCATTGTATTTCTTTGTAGCTCTTTTTGTAGTCCTCAAAATTCTATAATAAGGGATGATGAATACTGTAATGTTTAAGGGGCAAGCAATTTTTTCAGAATAAATTTTAAGGGATCTTTTGGATTAGTGAATTTTTTATTTGTTTGAGATCTCCAGTCTTTCTCAGCACTCACTTTCCATAGCCTGTTCTCGCCAACAGGTTTCACCGCTGTCTGGGTGGACATGCTAATAATTCTCGCCAATAGGTTCCTCCGCTGTCTGGGTGGACATGTTAAATTTGGACTCAACAGATTGTGTAGGGGTGTCAATTCGGGTCAACGGGTTGGGTTCTGGCGAACCCGGAACTGACCCGGCACTATTCGGGTCAACCCGAACCAATTTTCTAAACATGTCAGGTTTCTGGACTCGAACCCGACCTAATTCGGGTCCGGGTCAACCCGAACCGACACAAACGACCCGGGGTTGACCCAAAATTGCTAATTTTCAGGTCAAAAATTGGGTCATTCTCGGATTTTCGAGTAAAAAATAGGTCAATCTCGGATTTTTTGGGTCAAAAATGAGTTTTCGTGTAAAGAATTGACACCCCTAAGATTGTGTGTGAGTTTTTTTATTAAAATTGATCAAAATTTCCAAAAAGATTTATGTGAGAGTAGTTTGATACAATCATTTAATATGATTGGTCAAATTGAGTAAGCTTGGGTCATGTGTTCAAGACCTAATTTGTTGAGATGCGTGTGAATTTGTAATTAAATTTTCTCAAAAGCTCTAAAAATAATAATGTAAGTATAATCATAAATAATTATTTGATTTGATTGATAAAACAATCATTTGATTTGATTTAATAAATATAAATTAAATATCATTTTGAGGAGTTATTACGTGTGGAGTCCGGACATAATTTTATGCCCGAACATCGCACAGAATAATTTCTCCACTTTGTGAGTTTAGCTATCTAATTTCATTAGGCATATCATTGTAATTAAGAATGCTTGCTCATATAATTTATTTTTAAAAGCTAAATTTAAGTCAAAGATATAATGCCTAATGAAGTAAAAACACACAAATAAATAAATATTTAATTTCCTCTACAATTTTTTTTTACTAATTTTAGATACTGACACAGCTAAATACCTCAAATTAAAGATTAAATTAAATTAAATTATAAATACACATAAAATATTTCAAATCCCTCATATTTTAAATGAAAATATATACTGTAATTCTATGATATATCTTCCTCTTATAAGAAGTTATATAAAGATTTGTTCAACATGAATTATAAGCTATAATCATTTATTCTATCATTTTATGCAAAGAAGAGCCACTTTGGTTGGTTGGTTATTTGGATTATAGGTATTTATTTAATCTTTTTGGATTATTTGATTTAAAACCTATTTAATTTAAAATTAATTTTCAAATTAGATTGAATCTAACAAAAATTTATTTTGATTAGTTTGGTTTTATTTTGGATGAACTAAAATATGATTTAACTTTGATAAAGTGCATTTTTAATCTATTTGAATATTCTCAATATTATTATAACTTTAAGTAAAAAGAGTTTCAACCATAATAAGTAATTTCAAATTTAAGAAATCATTAAAGATATAAAGCCTCATCGAGTGATCCACTAAAAATTTCATATTACAACATCTCTAGTAATTTGTATGATTAAATGGAATTTGTTATAAGTGATTTTATTTGGCTAAGTATTTTTAACTATACTAATATTCTAACATTTCAAACTCTTTGCATGAGCTTTAGTCAGAATTAGGAGTGTCAATTTTTGACACGACCCGAATCCGACCTGAAAAAATCCAGGTTCAGGTCAACCCGAACCCGAAACAGGTCGGGTTCGAGTTCAACAAATCAACCCGTTTTAAAAATCGGGTCGGATTCGGGTTGACCCAGTAACCCGAAATTAACCCGAAAGTGACACTAAAACTCATATTTGATCCGAAAACCCGAGATTGACCCGTTTTTACCCGAAAATCGAAGATTGTCCCGATTTTGACCCGAAAACTAGCAATTTTGTGTCAACCCCGGGTCATTCGTGTCGGGTCGGGTTCGGGTCCAGAAACCTGACCTATTTTTTAAAATGGGTCGGGTTCGGGTTGATCCGAATAGTGCCGTGTCAGTTCCGGGTTCGACCTGAACCCGACCCGTTGACCCGAATTGACACCCCTAGTCGGAATAGGGGGTTATCAGATGTCATTGTGTGCATAAATCAAAAGGCATGGTGGATTGGAGACATTGGATGTCGGACGTTATTTCTGATTATCGAGTCGCTTTGATCGTATCCGGCACATGAAAAGTGTGTTAGACACGTGCAAGCCATATTTGCTAGGTGTCCTTTTCTAACACTAGTACCTCCTTATGAAGGGGTGTCTTTGCTAAAATTTAATTTTGATATATGAGATAAATAATATATATGTTGAATTTTTTTTTTTCACTCGTCAATTCATAGACATTGTTATTTTATAATTAAAAATTAGTATAATTTATTTTTTACTTAATTTATTGTATACAACATGAAATATTTATCCCACTATGTGGGGTTGCTACGTGAATCTTTTTTCTCCATTGTATCCTATTAAGAGTCAAATTCTTATTTAAATCTAATATAGAAAGTTCATTTATAATATTTCTCTCTCTCTCTCCAAAAATTAAATCCTTAATTCTATGACCTTGATAAAAAGGCCTCATTCTCATATCATAAAAGGCTGGCACAAACTGGGCCGAAGCCTGCTTAAGCACAGTTGAATTAAAAGACACGTTGCAGCCCACTAAGGTTTTTAAATCCGATATAAATTTTGAATCGTCAACAGCATATAATAAAAATTAAAGTTTCCAGAAGCTGAGAAGCTTTATGTTCAATTTTATTTTAATTTTATATAAAAAATTATTAATTAAATAATTTTTGTGCATCCGAACGCGTTCGGAGGCTAATCTGGACGCAACATGTCACCCAATGGCGCATTCGGATTGGCATTCGGACACTGCACGTAATAATTTTTCTTGGTTCACAAGCGATTTGTCATGTTTGATTGCTCAAAGAATCATAGACTTCTACGCCTTTCTGCTTTTGAGGGCCACACTTGTGGTTTTCCATTGCTTAGTTTTTTTACATCAAATATGGCCCATAGTCCCTCTACCAATTTTTTTTTTTAACAAAAACTTATATTATATTAATACCCAAAAGGATTACAACAGCAAAGAAACAAAAGTACAAGAGAAGAAAGAGCAGATGCCAAGGACAAATAAGAAATAACATGGGAAAACCAATCCCCGGGGCTCAGTATTTGGCCGAGACTACCAGCTTCCCAAAAAACCACGCTCAGATCGTCCAATTTGGTGAAGAAGCAAACGAGAAACAGCCATCCCAACCGAGTAGAGGATCTCCACCAAAGGTTGCCAAGAAATATGCCAACTGAGAAACGTGCCCCAGCCACATCATTGCCCGGCTAATAAAAAATAAAAATTGGAGAGCACCAAAATACAATAAAAAAGTAACAAGAACAACCAACCAAAAAGACACCATGAAGTAGGCAAGAAGCAAAAACCCAACACCACCCACAGAAATTATCTTCCATGTCTGCCCCTTCCACGAGCCCTTCCACGAGAAGTACTAGAAACAACCTTAGTGTCCCGCAACAATGCAAAAGAGTTCCCTAGATCCTCAACCCCATTAGACTCAAAGGAGGAAATAGAATCAGAATCATCAGACGACCCCTGAAGCCAATCAATATGCACACGCAAATCCAACCCAGAGTTGTCACCCACGTGATAAACCAAGTCTTGAGGGTCAATAATATTAACTGGCACATCCACAAATGGGCTATGAATTAAACCGACATCCACAGGGGTAGACACACTCCCAACCCCATCCAAATTATCATTAATAGTAACAGACCCAATCGGATCATCCACAACCACAGGGGTCATAGAGTAACTAGCTAAAGTGGTCGGGGCAGACAACACCGACACCAAGGGACCATAATTAAGAGCACAACCCGAATTAGCAACAACATTGTTACAAGCCCTAGGGGATACATCAGAAGGTAATACCCCAGCTACATCAGCAACAGCCTCAACAACAGAAACAATAGTCCCTTTACCAATATATGCACGTAACTTATCATTTATAGATGTCTTAATATCAGCCTCCTTTTTTCTCATGAGAATGACCACATTGACCATCTGAAATCACTAGACTTATGATGTCCACTGTCTGTCTTCATATACCTCCTGTCAATTTCAACTTAAACGAGTTTGTTGGTCAACCCAAACTCGACCCACTTTTTCAAACGGGTCGAATCCGGGAACCCGAACCCGACCCGTTTTGAAATCGGGTCGAGTCCAACCTGGATTTTCTGGGTCGGGTCCAACCTAGATTTTTCGGGTCGGATTTTCGTTTCGTGTCAAATATTGACACCCCTAATCTCATCCATCATCTACGAACAACTTGGTACCACAGTCTCCCCTTCCATTATAAAAATAATCATAACGACTTCCTTAGGTGACTCATACTCCCAACATTCACTATTGTCCATCATCTAACCCTCATCATCGACCAATGTCCGTCAGCGTTGGACGCACATCATCATATGACACTTGTTGTCAACATCGAATCTT